AAAGATATTGAACACATTAAAAGACAACCATATATATTTATTTTTAGCGGGTACCTTGTTTAATACTAGGGCATGCATGACCCCAGAAAATAATTCCACTTCAAAAGTTTCAGATATAACTACTAGTTTTTTGTTTATAGATATAAGAGTGCGTACGTTGCTCGAATTTTTGAATGCCAACGAATTTGTAAAGAGATTTCGTGATATTTCGGAAACGTCAATAACATACTTTTGAAAAATCTGTGCATCAGGTCATAGTAGCTATGTCATTTTAATAGAAAACTTTGTAAATTGAAAATTTTATAATTTATTATAAAATTTAGCAAATTTATATAGTAATAACGTCAGACGGACATCAGGTTTCAGCTCCAGTGTTACTCCGAAAAAGTTCAAATAGTTCGATTGTACACAATCCGAAGCAACTTTGAACACTGTTTATTACTTCTTTATAAATAAAATTGCAAAGTTCAATTAAAACAGAAGAATAAGCATCTCCCTGTACCACTGTATCTTAAAGTCGGTCAAAAAAAAGAAAGGTGTAATTTGTCAAAGTCAAAGAAAGGAGTAATAACAATTATTATTCCCGATTGCATTGTATACAATAAGGTACATTGTGTGATAGCACTAAATTTTGGATGTCGAATTTTCTGTAGGAATAATACTTTTCCATAGTAGGTAACCGTAAATAAACAATTTTTAGAGAGATGTCGGTATGTCAGTTTTTCGGTATGTGTGTGGACGCTTTTATCTCAAGTTCCTTTGAACCGATTTTGATGAAATTTTATATGACAATTTTTATTGACTATGGCACGGATTGATCCAACTTTTGGGATATATCAAACCTCGGGAACTGAACCTTTTTGCGGGCCAATTTTACATTTTTGCATATATAAAGAGAAATAATCAACCAACTTCCTTGAAATTTAATATTTGAATTTGGGTTGTTAAAGCAATGAATTTATAAATATCTTAGAAAGATCAGGGCTTGGGAACCGAACTGGGGGCCAATTTTACATTTTCATTTCAATTGGCATTTTCATAATCTTTCACTGCAACACTTTCACTAAACTAGGCAATATACATTGCGGTCAGTTATGTGCTGATCACATCAGATTTTTTTTTTAATATATTAAGGTTTGTTATGTAAACTTAAACATTTGAAGTTTTTTAACGCAAAATTAATTTATTTATTAGGTCTTCTTAAAGGATTTTAAAACTTCTGTTTTCAATTTAAAATTTTTGTTTTGTAATATAAGATTACAATTTTATGGAAATTAAAAAAAATGATAAATGATAAATATACAAACCACCTTTAAGAAAATGTAAAAAAAAATCAAAGAAGGTAAGAAGCATCACAAATTTTTAATCCGAATTTTATTAGGAAATTTATAAAAAATGCTCACAGTCTGTTAAATTTTAATTTCCTGATTTAATTTCAAAATTTTATTTTTTGGAATTTTCTGAAAAATTTTGCTAAAAAAAAATCTAGGAATTAAGAATTACGCGCCAAACAAAATTTTAATGGTTTGTATCACAAGTCGAAATTAAGTCGGAAATAGAGAATTAATATTTCGTCAAATTTTGTGTTAAAAAAAAAACAACAACAAATTCTCTATAGACAAGTTCAAAGTCATTGGTAAGAAGAATCCAATTTTATAATCATTTTTTATGTTCTTTAAATACCTTAAAACTCAAATTTTATTATAATCATTTTATCATAATCACATTTACCTGTACACGCAAGGTGTTTTAATTTGCAGCAGTCAAATTCTGCACACCTTTTCAAAATTTATTTTTTTTTTTTTTCTATATTTTCGCTTTCTTTTAATATCAAATTTATTAGACAATTGAATTTTTTTTTATGTATACAGCTAGTATAGTACATATATCACAAGAGAATAGAATTTACAAGGAAAACAAGCGAATAAAAAGAGCGTCCTTTCAATAGAGTTCAATTGTGACAATAGAATTGAGTTAAAAAAGACAAAAAAACAGAAAAATTTTGGAATAATAAAATTTATGAAAAGAAAATAATAACAAAAAAAAAAATACCTTTTTGCCACGGGCCGGTGTTGCACAATTCAATTGTTTTGCAAAAATATAAAAAATATATATATATATATATATTCCTTATGTACTGCTGCACTTTTAAATTCGTCAAAAAATAGAAAAACAAAAAGATTTAGTTTGCAGCTTTGATTTTTTTTTCTGTGTGTGTATGCCTTATGAAAACAATTTTTTTTTGCTTTTTCTTCAAATTCTATTGTGAAAAAGGATAAAGTTAATGTCCTTAAAGAAACCAGATAAAATGATTTCAAAAAATTTTTTTTCTTATTATAAAAGAAAATTGTAAGAAACAAGAAAAACAACCAAGAAATTGCCGAGTCTATGATGATGACAAGATTTTTTATTCGCCCAAAATAAGATTTATTTAAAATTATTAACAACCAGTAAGTGAAACTGAAATATCAACAATATCAACAACAAAAAAAAAATATTTCACCTGGCATTTTAATTGAACATCAGGACATTCTTTACATATATGCATGTAAACACATACACAAAAATTTTCTGAGTATATTTACTTTTTATATATAAAAATATGTAATTGAATTGAAAATTGTATAAGGTAAAAAAAAATCAGTGCCAAAGTAAAATATTTTACAATTGAAATGCTTGTTAACTCATACAATTTTACTTGAATAGAAGGACCATTATTTGGAATAATTTATTTTTTTTTTTTTTTGTAAATCATTCATTAAGCGGATTCAAAAATTGAAAGTGCACCTGGCTCTAAAACAGGTATGGTTCTTAATTCAATTCATTATTTTTTTTATATTGTTGTCTTTTTGTTCTCTTTGTTGTTGTTGTCATTATTATTTAATATCCTTTTAAAAAATTCTAAATTTAATTTAATTTTGACGGTAGTTTTTTTTTGTTTTTGTTATTTTTTTTTTTCTATATAAATTGTATGCTGAAAGTGTGAATATAGGGAGTTCCTAGATTTAATTTTAAAAACTATTCTTTCTAAAATTTTTCTGCGGTTTATTTTTATTCATATGGTTGTGTGTAGTTGAACAAGTTAATGATTTATGTTAATAATGTGTGTGTGTATGTGGAAACACGTTAATTACATTAAATATTGATTGAAATTTTATTATTCATGAAGGACAATGAACAAGAGGACATTGACTTGATAATGTTCATATAAAATGGGTGTATAATATACTAATATAAATTTAGAAAATCGCTACCTGCGACCTGAATGTTGTGGACGAAAAATATACTCACTTGAAATGAAGCGTTGTCTTTGCATGTCTACAAATTGTTAAAATTCAATAATTTAACGTTGGATTTTCAAAACCAAATAAACCTAATACTTGAGCTACAAAAAAAATGCCATCTGTTAGAGAAAATGTGAAATACAGCAACACTTGTTATACTTTACTTTATCTTCAATATTATAATTAGATTTTTTCCAATATTGTTCTAATGTGACAATCTTCACTTAACATCCTTATTATTTATGTTCGTAAATGCACGAACGAATTCTCATTTTCGTTTTCCGCAAATATTTTCGCTATAATATAAAAGTGTCACATTTATTTGATGTTTTTCTATTATAAATCTTACAAAAAATTTTTTTGAAAGCGATTTACACAAATATCCTTTTAATCTTTCATAATATCCTTTTCGTTTTATCTTCTATAATTCTCTTCTAAATCATAATAAACATGAACGCAATACCCCATGTCGCATAAATTGTTGTATGCAAATTTTTTTTTTTGTGGTGAAAATATCAATTTTCTTTATGAGAAGAGAAGAGAGAATATAATATACGTTATTGAGAGAAGATGTAATATTATTTTCTTATCTTATAAAATCAATAATTCAATGGTCATTTAATTGAAAATGTTAAATTTCATAGATATAGAGGGGAATTGCAAAAAAAAAAAAAATAAAAATATTGATTTATTCTTTATTTAACGAAATAGATTTTATCCACCATCTTTATCATTGATCGGTGATCACACATATCTAGAACTACACAAATAGAATATATCACAAGAAAAATTAACGAAAGAGAACAATAAAGAACAATAATATTGACGTATACGATTTTCTCGGTGACATTATTAAAATTTTTTATTCATATTGAATTTCTATTATTGTATTGTAATTGTGTGGTGATTTTAAAATTTCTTCCAGGTGAAAAAAAATTTAAATAACAATATAATAAAAAACAATTTATTTTAGTATTGGTCAATATAATTCGGACAATATGCGGTTATTCTCGTTATTACTCTCATTCTCTCTTTATGAAATTTTTCATTTATCTTTTTTAAAAGAGAATATTTTCAATTTGATGTTTACTCTCCTTTAACACAAAATATAAAAAAAGTATTTGTTTTGGGTATAGATTTTAGGGTGAGTAGCGCATCCCTTGTCAATACTCACAACTTACAAGTATTATTCACTAAAAATGTTTTGTTGAAAAGATCGTTCACGGTTATGATATGATAATAATTTTTTTTTTTTTTGTTCTGTTCTGTTATAAGGAAATTCCGCGATTCGCATAAATATTTATATTTAGTGGAAAGAAAAAACAAATAAATAAAAAAAAAAAAATTCATCAAAATATGTAGATATTTTATGTAATTTACATAGTACGTACATATAAGTATATTGTTCCGCTTGATAAGACATTTAAATGAGAACAAATAGGAAAAAAATAATAATAAAATAAAAATGAAATTTCAATCAAAATTTAAATAGAAAGAGGGGGGCTTAAATCTATATAAGTGAATCTTCAATACGCAAAACCTGTCATTGAAATTCAATCATTCATAGCGATCGTACAATTATTAGTTTTTGTTTTGGATATTTAAATAAATAAGATTATATTTTTGTAATTCAAATCAAAATAAATTTTGAATACTCGTACAATACAAGAATAATATTTTAAGCGGGAAATTTTTTTGGAAAAATTAAAAGTAAATATGGAAATTTATAAAAATTGTCCATTAAAAAAACGTCCTGTAATTTTTAATGAAATAAACCGAGAACAACCTGAAGATTTATCAATGAAAAGGACATTTAATAATAATAATATTGAATTGATTTCAAAGGATATTAAAAGACATTTTGATTTATCATCAAATTCATATTATGATTGTTTAAGGAAAACAAATGATTTTCGATTTTGGTATAAAACATTAAATAATAATAATTTAAATAATTATAATCAATTAGATCCTAATGATGTACAAATAATATCAGCTTTCAAAACATATCACAATTCAATTAATAATGAACAGTATGAAATTTTATCAAATAATCAAATACATTTATGTGGTTTAACAAATTTCGATATGAAAAATTCTCATAATTATGATTCATATTGGAATTTATTAAATTTTAATCATGATAATCATCATCATCATCATCATCATCATCATCAGTATCATAATAATAAACAACAAAATCAATTAGATTTTTTTACATATAATTTAACACCACCATCAAGTCCAGTATCATCAATTGATATATCATCATCAGAACCAGAAGATTTATCAATACGTAATGTAGAATTTACAATTGAATCACTTTTATATTCATCAAAAAAGAATCATAATCGGAACAATAAATTATTAAAATCATCTATAAAATTAGAAAATTCACAACAACAACAATTTATAAATAGATTTCAATGTGATAAATGCCGAAAATCATATTCAACAAATACTGGTCTATCAAAACATCAACAATTACATTGTCCGGCAGCTGAATGTAATAAAATTAAAAAAGAATTTGGTTGTAAAAGTTGTAATAAAATTTATACATCATTAGGTGCACTTAAAATGCATATTAGAACACATACATTACCATGTAAATGTCCACATTGTGGTAAAGCATTTTCAAGACCATGGTTATTACAAGGTCATATTCGAACGCATACCGGTGAAAAACCATTTTCATGTAATCATTGTCAAAGAGCATTCGCTGATCGTTCTAATTTAAGAGCTCATCAACAGACACATGTTGAAATTAAAAAATATATTTGTGAAAATTGTTCAAAATCATTTTCTCGTATGTCACTTTTAACAAAACATATATCGGGTGGTTGTGTTATGCAAATACAAAATTATATTTAAATACCAAATAATTTAAAAACAAAAAAAATTATTATTATTATTAAAATTTCATTTAAGTATTTGAATTTTATTTAAGATAAATTGAAAAAATTTAAATAGATTTATAAAATTTAGAATTTAGTGATTATTGCATTAGATCTCTAGTTACAAGTGTAAGAAATTAAACAAAATGTGCCTGATATTTTAGTATAAAATTTTTTTATAATAATATGAGAATAAAATAATTTTGTAAAAAAAAAAAAATTTTTAAGTGTTGCCTTTGTTTTGAAATATTTTACTCTAATGATATTTGAATTGTTCTTTAAGATCGTAATTTACAATTTGGTTTGATCACTTAATTCTTGGTCATTATAATTTTTGAATTCTGTACAAAACTAATGTATATTCGCATTTAACAAATTATTTTATTGCTCTATACCTTATTCATATTGATCAAAGCGAAATAAATTGAGTGTATGTAAATATTACATTTAGTTTATCAACAGCCAGTTTGGGAACACACACTAGCCTATTAATAAACACTATTATTTATTACCTTCGTGATATTAAAGTAATCAATAATAAATTTTGTTACCAGATCCGTCGTTTTAAACGGGTGACAGCTGAAAATTGATAAAAATTTATTTTGACAAAAATTAAAAACAAAAGAGGGAATTCCCGTCTTTAAAATTTTAAAAATTTAAAATTTAATTTTGACTTGTACATTTCGCTTTTATTTTAAACGGTTCTGCTAAAATTTTTTAAATTTCTGACTCTGTGTTTAATGAAGAGCTTAGTTTTCATATAAATGAGCGTGGGGTATGGGGGGTGGTAGTACTTAGAGCAAATTAATTATTTCTTAAATTCTTTAAGAATGTTTTTAAAAGGAAGCTTACTGATTGAAAAGCGATTGACTTTAAAATTTAAAAAAATCATCCAGAATTGGAAATTATTGCCTTGTTGGTTTATTGCCAAAGTATGTTACTTTTGCTTTTGTGAAAATTTTCTGAATTTGTAAAAATTTTCTGATTTTTCAAAAGCAAATTGGCCTAACCCATATTGTGGCTTACGCCACTCTGCTTCTGGGCCCCTTATGAGTGTCACATTCCGTCGTTTTCTGTAAATTTACTTAAGAAGTTTAACAGTTATTGTGAAATTGCTGAAGAATTAATTGAAATAAATATAATTTAAGTTTAACTGTGCTGAATTTTGCTTAATTACCAATTTATAATTCATCTTAATTATGTAAAATGTAATGCTCCTATTTTAGAAACAAAAAACAAACACACTCATATTTTCATCTTAGTTTTACAACTCGAGATTTATTTTGTTTTTATCCCATTTTCTTCAACTCTATATATACAAATAATTAAAAGTCATTTACCTTAAAATAATTATAATAAAATAAAATAAAATTTATAAATTCCAGTTCAATTACATTTAAGTATTTTAATTGCTAGTATGCTATAATATTAAATTACAAATTATTTCAATCGATATAAAAATAAAGCCAATATGATTTCATTATAGCATAAAAATTTTATGTATACATACATATAAAGTGACACAAATATAACATGACAAGTTCAAGGAAAATTTATAGCAAAAAAAAAAAAACAAATGAGGATTAAAAAAAAAAATAGATACCGTTAAAAATAGTAACCGCATAAAGTACTGATATTTTTTTTTACCATAAACCTTGACAGGTTGTATGTAATATTTGAAATTGCTTATTATAGCTTATATTTATACCTATGTGTGTATATACGATCGCATTATAGTGTATGGTAATAATTAAGTAGTACGTGTAGTTAAAAAGGAAGATAAAGAAGTATGCCCTTTTCTTTTATTGTTGCAATTTTCTTATTTTCTTAAACGCACCACAAATTTTTGCACTTTTCACTCAATTTTATTGAATAAAGAAAATAGAAAATAATCTAATAAGTTATAGTATAATTAAAATTATTTTTTTTTTATATTGTGATCAAAAGAATTTTCTCCGCAAATATGTAGCACGTTATTAAAACTTTATATATACTTCATTTGACATTTGAAAGAACGCGTTCATTGTAAAATTTTCCATGCAATAATCAAATAAAATTAATTTATTTTTTCTTTTATGGTGTAGATTTTGTATTAGATTTTTATATTATGAAGAAAATATTGGGTTTTAATTAATAAATTAGAATGTTGCTCTTAAAATATTTTATATGTAGACCAATATAATTTATTCTTTTATTTAAAAATTTCACTTAAAGTGTGTAATGAACTTAGTACAATATTAATTTAAGATGCCATTTAAGTTGATTAAGATTTCTTCCTGAAAGCCTTCCCTTTTTCCCTCATATATACAAATTTGTATTAATCTACATCTATAATTTTAATTTTTTACATAAAGTGAAATGAAGATTGTTTAAGTTGAAAGAATGTTTTTCATTAAGGAAAATCTACTACATTGCATAATAACAAGAAATGTTATGTATGCTTCAACACCACAGTTGCGGTTCACCTCTATTTACCGATTCTTCCGGGAACCAAATAATTCGGTAAGACCAAATAATTCGAGGCAGTTTAGAGTTATATCGCATACCAAATAAATCCACAGTATTGGAAGCGGGAAGCATAAGGCATGTGAAATTCTGAGAAGTGATTTGAAAGCTCTTAAATTTCAAGATTGAATCAAAATTGCTGCCTGCACATTGTTCACAACAATTGTGAGCAGCAATTTTGTCTGTAAACACACATTCAAAATATTTTCGATATTTGTAACGTACTCTTGTTAACCATATCAAGAAATAATTGAACAGACTAAATGGTCAAATATAAATCTACCATATACTTTTTATTGCTTTTATTGTAAATTTTTATCACATATCACACACTGTTAATCATATTGTTTTAATAACTTTATTAAAATATTACCGGGCGGAAAATAATTTGCATAATTTCTGCTTTCATTGTTGTTAATAAATTTTTATGATGTCTTGAAGTGACTAAAAAAAAAACACATACACATAATAGTCAATTAATAGTCATTGAACTAAAATAAATCACTGTTAGTTTACATACATTTATAATATATTGGAAAGATTGAAAGAAAAACCATTACCGACATCTTCCTCATTCTCATTATTGTTGGCATAAAAACCGCATATCGACGATAATATGTCGTTCCCTAAGAACATTGACTGACTTTTCTGTTTTCTTTTCATCTTATTTATATTATACGAATAGTATAGTGAGTTATATGCGAAATTTGATATTACGAGTATTATAAAATGAGATTGTTGACTTTCTACTTGTTAGTGTTAATTTTAATAAAGATTGTTAAGTTAAAATGATTTTATGATTTAAGAGTTATGAATAATGTATGCAATGCAAGTATGTTTTGTTGTCTTTTTTTTTATTTATATATTAATAGCACACTTGTCAATATTGTCATAAAAGACTTTGTCTTCTAACTATATTAAAGTATGTAGTGTTTGCTTATTTTCTTTATAAAAGTTTTGTTGAAAACGTTGAATCTTAAAAATTAAAAGTATTTTGAGTGGAAAAAACTGCACTTTAGAAACTTACAAAGCTAAATAATAAAAAGAGTGATAAGGTGGGAAACTCACAGAGGGAAGTATTAAATGTTGTATGAAGCTATACCCTTTTCTTAAAAAATTTTTAACATGTCAAACTTTCAGCTAAAGCTGGCTTTATAGTAGAATTTTGGTTTGTAATTTAATGAAACACTAATCGGAATATGTACGCTTTTCCTATTTAAATTATAGTGTTGTCAAGCGTTTTCAAAGCGAATTTAATATAAAAAAGAACTGATTTATACGGAAAATTTTAAAAATGTTTGACGTAGCATCCTGCCTAATAAATTATTTTTTGAATTTACTCACTCATTTAGTTGCAGATTAAGCAACGGAAATATTGGGTGCTGTATAAAAAGAAATTGAAGCTTAATAATGAGCAAATTGGGGTCATTCGACATTTTTGGTTAAAAGTAAGTCGAACCGAGCCTATCGTCTTATATTTTCTTCTTTTTTGCAGAATGCAGTATGCAAGAATGCTGATTAAAAGAGAGGAGTTCAGGATTTTTGAGAAGACGATCTTGTACAGCGGAATATTTTTTTGAAAACCGGTTTTTTTAACAAATCTGTTTACGGCAAAGCTTTCAGAAAAGATTGACAAAAGGTTTGTTTTTTGTTCGTTAGCTAATGTTTCACAGTTCTTTAATTATCAGTTCTTTATTCATTTTTAATACCATGCTTTGCAATAATAGGTTATTGCAATAATTTAGAACAGTTCGACATAATTTTGTTTAACATTTATTTTTAAAACAACCTATACTTCTCAATTACCAGCACTTATTTGATCATTCGATTTAAATTGTACCATTAATTTTATATTTATAAACAAATTTTATACAGTAAATATTGTTAAGTATAAATTTGGAGTTCATAATCTATCATTTTTATTATTATGTGGTCGGTCTATGACCACCCAATTGGACAGAAAAATAAAAAATGACAAATTACTGAATAATTCGAGGAGCATTGAAATTTTGAAATTTTTTTATTTTGAATTTCAGCTATTTTTTTCTTATACTATTTTTTTAATGCATATACGAGTAGTTCAATAATAATCCATGAGATAGTTGAAAAGCCTACAGAAAAGATGTACCAATGTTGAGTTTTACGATTAATTTATTTTGTGCTTTTACAATATAGATGAATAAATATTCGATTTATTAGATATTCTCTTTCACTTGTCCTACTAGTTTTCAACAAGATTATTTCAAAAATAAAAAAGCACTTAAATATCACATTAAGCAAGATATATGCAATTTAAATAACACATTTAGCGGGGTCATGAACCCAAATCGAACTTAAATCCGATTGTTTTCTTCGATCCTAATTTTTTTCCACAAAAACTTCAATCCGAGCAAATTAAAACCCAATACTTTCAAATCTAACCTATATTCGTCCCAACATTTTTGAAATTTCGAAACGCTGTTGTTATAATTA